TATTTCACCAGGTTGTGGTGAGGATTAAATGATGCTAACAATTAAAAAGCTTAGCGCACTGCTTAGCAGTCAAGTTTTCAATAAATACCAGCTGCTATCCTTGTTCAGAGCAAGAATGGAGAAGATGGCAGATTTTTATTAGCACTTGTATTATTTTCCTAGGAAGCCAGAAGTCTGAAAGCAAGGTGTTCTCAGAGCTATGCTTCTTCCAAAACTCTAGGGAAGAATCTTTCCTTGGCTCTTCTAGCCTCTGAAAGCCTCAGGAGTTCCTTGGCTTGGGACAGTGTAACTCCAGTCTCTGCTTCCGACTTCACATGGTTTCCTTTCTGTGTGTCTGTGTGCATCTCTGTGCCCTTTCCTCTTCTTCCCTCTTCTTACGAGGACACACTCATTGGACTTAGCATCCACCCTAACCTAGTATGACCCACCTTAACAAAATCACATCTGCAAAGACCTTACTTCCAAACAAGGTCATATTCTGAAGTTCCAGGTGGACATGAATCTGGGGGACACTATTCAATCTCCTTGAGAGAGGCTATACTTCAACCACGAAAGGGAAACACAGAAATTGTTGCCCCCCCCATAGGTCTATTATTTTCCTTCTTGCTTAAAAACACAGAGAAGACACAGAGAGGGGACTTCAAATTATGCTTCAAATTTATGGTTAGTAATGAAAGTGACATTGATCACTATAAAATGCTTGAGTGTTGTGGGATCTGACTCTCCAAGAAAAAGCAATTTTAATGTTAGAAAACCATCTTTGGCATGACCCAGCAACTATCCATTCGGTCCCAAGTATTCCTGGGGATGACAGACCCACAGTTAACATCTTCCACGTAGGCTGGGATGATTCTCCCCTCAGCCTCAGCCAATGGGCTGTCAAGGAATTCTGGCATGGAAGGGACCAGCCTCCGTCGAGTTAAATTGCTGCTGGTTGATGAATGTGCTGAGAAGATGGGATGCTGCATGGTTATCTGCAGACAGATGGAGAGACTGCCTGCATGGTCTCATTGAAGGGTTTCCAGAACGCCCTTGTGCTATCTCCAGACCATAAAATGCTCCCCAGTCAGCACTCCTATTTAAGATGCAAGTAGCCCTGGGAGAGTTAACACCTTAACTGGTGGTCAAATTTTTATGAATCCATTTGAAAAGGGCCTCTGGGCTGGGTGTGGTGGCTCACGCTGTAATCCCAGCACATTGGGAGGCCGAGGTGGGCAGATCACCTGAGGTCAAGAGTTTGAGACTAGCCTGACCAACATGGTGAAACCTGTCTCCACTAAAAATACAAAAATTAGCTGGATGTGGTGGTGGGTGCCTATAATCCCAGCTACTTGGGAGGCTGAGGCAGTAGAATCACTTGAACCTGGGAGGCAGAGGTGGCAGTGAGCACTCCAGTCTGGGTGACAAGAGCTAAACTGAATCAAAAAAAGAAAGAAAGAAAGGAAGAAACAAAAAAAGAAAGAAAAAGGAAGGAAGGAAGGAGAGGAGAGAATAAAAAGGGCTCTGGAAGGAGTTTTGGATAAGAGGTTAGAGGAAGTCCCCTGCCTGCATGGTTTTTGCTATTGGGAAATAATGACCGTCAGTGTATCATCTACAAAGCAGAGGAGATGATCATGAAGAACCTGCTCAAATCCAGCCCTGTCTTCCTAGCTCAGTGAAGTGGCAGGACATGGTAATTTGATTTACATGTTCAACTGTATACTCCAGCAAAAGACAGAGAGAGGGAAAGTAGGTATGGAATATGAGAGACAGAGATAGAGAGAGGGAAAGTAGGTATGGAATATGAGAGACAGAGACAGAGAGAGGGATCAATGTAGAAATAAAGATTGTGCTTATGGTGAGGGGAGAGGGAGGGAGGAGGAGAAGGGAAGAAGAAGAGGAGGAGGGTGGGGAGGAGGAGAGGAGAGAAAAACAGAGATAATTCAAATAGCATGGGCTGTCTGCCCACCATTCTCCTGGACGGGCTAATACTACACAAGAAGAGACCTATTTGATCTGTCCTTGGGCTATTTTGGGCCTCAAGCCTGTCCTAGTGTGAGCCTCTCACATAGCTGAGCATGATACTAGTGTCTTGAGGTTTTTATTTTCATGCAACCTGACCCCAGCAAGGCAGCCCGTCCTCCAGTGCCCATCTGAAGGGTGATCTCTTCGGCTGCTTGTGGAAAATGTGTTTTGCTAAATGTATTGAGATTTAAAAAATAATGATGTTCGAGGAAATCCATCATTGTGTAAAGACTGGAAATGTAGCTAAGCAAAAACAAAATAAAACACATGCACACATATGTTTCTTGCAGCATTATTTACAATAGCAAAGATTTGGAACCAACCCAAATGCCCATCAATGATAGACTGGATAAAGAAAACATGGCACATATATGCCATGGAATACTATGCAGCCGTAAAAAAGAAATGAGCTCATATCCTTTGCAGGGACATGGATGAAGCTGGAAGTCATTATTCTCAGCAAACTAACACAGGAACAGAAAACCAAACACTGCATGTTCTCACTTATAAGTGGGAGTTGAACAATGAGAACACATGGACACAGGGAGGGGAACATCACACACCAGGGCCTGTCAGGGGGTAGAGGGCAAGGGGAAAGACAGCATTAGGATAAATACCTAATGCATGCAGGGCATAAAACCTAGATGACGGGTTTCACATTTATACCTATGTAACGAACCTGCACGTTCTGTACATGTACCCCATAACTTAAGTAAAATAAAATAAGAAAAAATACGAGTATTTTTATCCTCCTACAAAAAATAACCACAGTTAATATTTGGCGTGTATTCTCACAGTTTGTTTTCCTCCCCTCTGTGTATGTGTGTGTTTTATTTTGTATAAACACGCAATCCTGCTGTGTATGGTAGGTTGTGCCTTGCTTCATTCACTTGGCAAAATATTAGGGATGTTTTCCACATCTGCAAACATAGACACATACTATCAAAGGAAGGCCAGAGAAGGCCTTGCATAGAGCTCATTCTTTAGCCAGTGAGCATGGCTACTCTCTGTAGAGGCTGAGCTGTTTGGCTGAAGCACCAGCATGAGGCGGGGGTCACAGGAACTGCTGTGCAGGTACCAGGCTACCTGGGGACTGAGGCCTAGAGCAGAGGCAGCACCAGGCTGGGAGATGCTTCCAGTCTCTGGCATACCTTGCCTCTGTGCAGACAAAGCTTTCCTGGACAGCTGCGGGACTCTTCTGCACAGTACCACTGTTATTCTCCCAAGTCAAGAAGATACTTGACTCATAAGGATACTCATAAATGATTTCCAAAGATGTTTTGCAGTCTTCTATTTAAATTTTTTGGTTAAGCTACTAAGTGAATCAATTGTAAACTCATTCTACTAAACAGATAATAAGGAAACATTTAGCTGTCTTTTGTGTAAACGTGTTGAAATAACGTCAGAGGCAACACACAGGCTTCATTTAACTTTATGTCCAATGTGGGCTAAACTGGAGAGGATATACCCCTGCCTTTCTATTCATGACTATTGCCTATTAACCTCCAGAGGTTTTGTGTGAGCTACCGTGTTTAACCTAACTCTCCAAAAATAAAGGGATGGTGATTTTCTTTAAATTGGTACTCGCATAGTGGAATCTCTCAGGCATTAGAGCTTACTTGATTGCATTCAGACATTACTGTGGCAAGGAAATGACTGCATTAAATTAGCATCAAGCACAATGAATGGTAATTGCAAGACTGTCATTTCTACAAGTGCGAAATTAATGTGTTCTGCAAGCCCATTCCATTGTGTGCCACGGGAAAATCATGGAACCATGTTGTTTCGAACAGAAAAATGCACTGTAATAGCACTGTTCATGTGCTATGGTATTATTCTGCAAGGGTGTTCCTTTCCACCTTTGTTGTTGTCTCATGCTCATTTTTCATACCCTGTCTGACCTAATTTGTATGCTCATATTATAGCCCTGCCAGACAGTAGCCTGGATGTACAGAGAATGTTATGAAACAATTCCTCCTTCTGTGTGGCATCTTGTGTGAATAATGCCAATGTAAACAACCCTCCATGTATTCATCAGAGTCTGAATAGGCTACTTATGTAAAGCTCCTTATTAAGAGATGCACCAACCTTCACAGAAAACGCTACCCAAATGCTATACATCCATTTAGAAAGAGAAGAGTGATTTACATGCATTTCAATGGTAGCTTAGGAAAATCACCGGTTCCTCCTCTCTTTTTCCCTCTTGTTAATATATGGGAAATTAAGCCACAGACCAGGTGAGTAACTTTCTTCTGGTTATGCAGGATCACGGGGTATAGCTCAAATGATAACATGCATATGCATGGACTCTTGTACTTTGCTCATTGGCTCTGCAGAATCTACTGGGAATTAAAGGAATTATTCAAGACTAAAATAACCAAGTAATAACAGATATTCTAAGCTGACCAATTCGATGTGGTTTTTCAATATTTCTGCAGTTTAGCTTAGGCTGAGAGCCACTCAAAGGCATCCTGAGTAAGAGTAATAACAATGACATCAATGACTGACCAGAGGAGTTTTCTGGTGAGTAGAGCTTGACTCCAGTATCTTAGCAACTGCAGGGCGTGGGAGCATCAAGACCACAGGGCTGCACTGGCTGATTCACTACAGCAATTGACAGATCAATCAATCTGTTGGAGATCTTAGTGTGGGAGGGTCAGGCCTGAGTCCCGTTTTGGAGGCCACCTATTTTGTCCCTCACCATTAAGATGTAATGAGGCTGTCTTTGTAGAGTTTCAGGCAGTGAATAATTTGCTGGAATCTGGAAGAAATTCTGTACCAAACACAAAGCTTCTCTCATCTTATCGAACAAAAATGATTAGGAAATGATTTTGGTTAGAAACTTCCAACCTAAGTTGAGAGAAAAATTCTGATCATCTTAGGTACACTTTTGATCAGAATAAGGTACACTTGTTTACAGATGAAAAAAACATTAAATAGATGATTTGGGCTTATACAGATGTGCAAAATGGCTCTGGAAATGAGTTCTGCCTTACCTTTGTTGCAAAATGTCCCGTCATATGCAGTATTGGAGCAATCGCAGGTGTAACCGTGGTACCTCTCTAGGCATTTGCCTCCATTTTCACAGTTCGTTCCATAGCTGGTGCAGTGGCCCGAGCACCCGGATATGAACCCGGATGTGACCTTTGCTCTTTCCTCCAGGTCAAGTGTCACCCCATTCATCCTCAAGGAGCGGATGCAGCCCAGGAAGCCCTGCTGGCCCCCAGCACCACCTGGGAATGACAGAAGGCACGGAGTTCAGTGGGAATAACCTGTTATTGCTTGTTTTATTCTTCATATTTTGAAGAACTGTGGTAGGAGATGAGACTGCACGGTGCATCTAGTATTGCCACTTTCAAGTTGATCGTATCCAAATAGAGAAAGTTGAAGCTTCTCTTTCCTTAGACCATAATGCCCAATTAAAAGAGGCTGTGTTTTCTGAGAAGCAACACACTTGCTATAGAAATAAAATATTTGGAGATACACAAAAATTATATAAGCTGTTTTGGAAGTCTAATCTGGTTCCTTATAGAAAAAGGGTTTATAGAAATCTCTAGGCTGGGCATGGTGGCTCATGCCTGTTATCCCAGCACTTTGAGTGGCCAAGGCAGGTGGATCACAAGGTCAGGAGACTGATACCATCCTGGACAACATAGGGAAACCTCATCTCTACTAAAAATACAAAAAGTCAACCGGGTTTGGTGGTACACATACACCTACTTGGGAGGCTGAGGCAGGGAAATTGCTTGAACCCAGGAGGCAGAGGGTGCAGTGAGCTGAGATTACACCACTGCACTCCAGCCTGGTATCTCACAACATTGAGTTCTATTGCATTACTTATTGAAAAAAATATGAAGGAAGAGACATGAATGTATTAGCATAACTAATAAGTCAATTAGTTGGAAGGCATAAATCCATTTGAAATGTGATTGTAGATCTTAGTTCTTGTCTCAAGAGATGCTTTGCTTTTAATTTCATGTCAAGACTACCCAAGGCTCCTTGTCTGGGGTAGCTGGAAGTTGGAATTGATAATTTTACACAGAAATCAGCTATACCACATTTATTGCTAGGTTAGATCAGATTTCATTGCTTTTCTTTCTTTCTTTTTGTTTTTCCTTTTTTTGAGACGGAGTCTCAGTCTGTCACCCAGGCTGGAGTGCAGTGGTGCGATCCTGGCTCACGGCAACCTCTGCCTCCCAGGTTCAAGCAATTCCCTTGCCTCAGCCTCCTGAGTAGCTGGGATTACAGGTACACATCACCACACCCCGCCAATTTTTGTATTTTTAGTAGATGGGGTTTCACTATGTTCATCAGGCTAGTCTTGAACACCTGACCTTGTGATCCACCTACCTCGGCCTTCCAAAGTGCTAGAATTACAGGCATGAGCCACCGTGCCTGGCCAGCTTTCATTGGTTTTGTCTAAATGTCATTATTACAAGACATATAGCACAATGAGCACGTTCACTGTGATTTTTGGAGTAAGTTATAGAGAGTTGGACCGAGATTCATGAGCATGAAAATATTAAAATATTCCCCAGAAATTTCATAGAAAGATTCATTGAAGCATTCTATCACAGGTGGATTTAATTGTGTCTGTAGTATTCTTAGCTATAATTTTTTTTTAAAGCAGCTGGTATAAAAGGAGTAACTCAAATTTATACACGTTTGTATCTTGGAGTAACAACTTTTCTGGAAATGAATCTAAAATGAATAGTAGGTAAATTGCTGAAATAAATAACTGATGAGGATTTAGAAAAGAAGATACTGTTAATAAAAATAAAACCCAAGTTACCCTTTCACTGAGGGCTATATGCTAGGCACTCTATTTAGCATCCTATATATATTAGTCACCTGGTCCTCACAACAACATATCAAAGTAGATATTATTTGCATTATTCCCATTATACAGATGGAGAAACTAAGGCTTAGAGAAGTTAAAAAGTTTGCTCAAGGACTCATAGTTCCTGAGTGGCAATTGTATAATATCTGTCTTATTCCCAAGCAACAAACAAGATTTAGTGTCTTAACCCTTGTTCTGTGTAGACCACCTAATATCAAGAAGAACTTTGGGGGTCAGGGGCCTCATAGATGTACATGTTTCTGAGATGTAGATTTGGATGTCTTTAAAAATGAAGTAGTCAATAAGGTTACTGGAATTTGAGTAAGATCAGTAGGCTGGGGATTGACTCTCATCACTTACTCTATTATCTTAAGAAAAATCATAAACTCCAGTAAATTCATCAGACAGGACTGGAAGATCAAAGGGTTTTAGTGGCAGGGATGAATTAGCACCTGCTTATGCCTGTAAACCCCCATCAGTGAAATGGCAAATGAGCTGCTCTACCATCTCTGTACACCCAAGCCTTGCAATTATCTCATTGGGTGATACATTGATTTGAATCATGACTCTCCTGCAAGCATTTGATTTCTTCTAAAATATTTGAATAGAGAAGTAAAAAGAGTCCAGTGCCTTTTTTTGATCAAAGCTATGAGACAGTAGATGGCAAAAGAAGTTATTAAAAACAACCACTTGGAAGGACCATTTACCATCTGCTTGTCAACTGGGTTTCACACCTCTGTGCTGTAAAGAATTAGGGCCTTAGCCTGATTTAGAAGAATTTCAAACCACTAGTCACTCTTTGTGTGTTAGAATTTCAATTTAACTTCTATTATTATGGCTTTTGTTCTTGCAATAAAGGCTTTCCAAAAGGCATTTTATTAAATAAATGTCTGGCCTTAAAAATGTTTCATTACTAGTCGATTATGACAATTAAATCCTATAAAAATGTGCTAAAACATAAAAATCACTTTGAGATCTTCCCATCTCCTTTTGCCTGATGGCCAATGTAATAGTCCTTGTGGCAACCATAAACGTACTGTTTATGGAGAAGTTCAGTACAAAGCAGATTCCGTTATGCTACTCAAATTGAATTACTTTTACTTTTAGGGAACAGCCTTTTCTATTTTTTTTCTATAAATATACATATGTGTTTTTTAAAAAATGAAGAAATGGGATCATAATGTACACATTATTTTGAAACTTGCTTTTTGCACTTAATATATCATGAAACATTTCCCAAGCAATAAATGTACAACTAAAACAGCCTGCTTAGTGTCTGCATCCGTTCTATGAAGGCACTATCACTTATTTTGCTCTTGCACCACATTGAACTTCTACATTTTTAAAATTTCCACGTTATATGATGCTTTAATAATATAATTTTTATGAAAACATTTGCAAACCCGTTGCCCAGTTTTTCCTCAAAATTGATTCTTTAGAATTAATCACATTTTTAAGTCGAATTGCTAGGTTGAAAGGCATATACATTTTAAAGGCATTTGAAATCTATTTTCTTCTAAGAAGAATTAACCAATTTCTAATTTGCCAGTAGGATATGAAATGATCACTGTCTCCACACCATTCTAATAATTGGTCAGTGTCCTTTTGCATTCATGTCAGTCTGCTTGGCAGGGGCAAAAAGGGTTCACTGTTGAAATTTGCATTGCCTCAAATACTTGAGTTATTTTCATGTTTTTACTTTTCTTATTTTTTTATTTCTTTATGACCTTTGCTTTTTGCTGGGAATGGAAGAAGATATATTTCTTATTGATTCATAACAATAAGGGCTTTAACTCTTTGTTATAAATAACTCTGTTGCAACTGTATCTTTTCAGTTTGTGTCTTTTGACTTCTATGTGGTATGATTTTTTCCTTGACATTTCTCCCCATGCCATCCCCCCTCAACACCCTACCCCACGCTGTCCCTCCCCTATTTCCCTACAACAGACCCCAGTGTGTAGTGCTCCCCTCCCTGTGTCCATGTGTTCTCATTGTTCGACACTCGCCTATGAGTGAGAACATGCGGTATTTGATTTTCTGCTCCTGTGTCAGTTTGCTGAGAATTATTCAACTATATTTTCTTCTAACACTTTTGCGATTTTAATTCGGCTTACATGTTAACCTTTTATCGATTTGGGATGTATTTTAATTTGGAAACAATTGGTATTTCATGGATCTTCAGCAGTAACTGAGAGTTTGAAAAGACTCTAAATAAATGTTAACATGATGAAGAACGGAAATATTTTTTAAAGGGTCAATTGGCAGAGCAAATAAATCTAGAGTAGATCATATGTTTATCACATCATTAAGGCAAATCTTCAGATGTATTCATGGATACTTAATTATTTAGTATACAGGGTTCATTTCAGAAAGGATTTAGCGGGCAGAGTTTTTGCACTCTGCTTCTGTCTTGGTTCTTGGGTCTTTGGTCTTCCTAGGTTCTACAGGAACCTCCTGCACTTGTACTTGCGGAATCTTTCCCTCTCAGGACCATCTACTGTTTCTACTCAGTTGTGTGGCTTTTATCAAATTACACAATCTCTCTCAGCATCAGTTTCCTCATCTAAAAAATAGGAGGCTGAACTCGATGGTGTCTCTGACTCTTTCCAGCTCTGAATTGCTCTGACCCACACTTTATCAGCTTTCCCTCTGGGCCTGCGCTGTTTTTACCCAAATTTCTGTAAATACTCTCAAATTCTCTTAAATCTCTTCCTTGCTTGCTTTCTCTTTCTTTGTATCAATGTCTGACTTTTTTTTTCTTCCTCTTTTAAACTGGGTGTAACATGACTGTAGTCTCATTTGTATTTGTTGTGTTCATTAAATAAAGTTTTGCACTCCCTCTTCATAATTTATAAAGCATGTGAGTGAAATACAGTTTCTTTCTCTATAAAGGAAAACTAAATAAATTAAGCTCTTTTCTTACTTAGGTAGTCCCTGATTTATTTAAATGGGGTAGTGAGCTAGAAAGTACTTTTCATGATCTAGTTGATAGGAAGAAAAATCTTCTGTCCTGAAAATGGTCATTATATATTATGTAAAAGACACTGATGCACTAGAACCAGTGAAAATTATTTGAGTTCCGCTTAGGCACTCTGTAGAAATCTTTCTTGGTGACAAATGTTGTAAGTTTAAATTATAGGTCTTCAAGCAAAAATGCTACTTAACCTTTGTTAATTAGAAAATCAACACATTGTCATTGGAGAGAGCCCCCTGCCATGCAGGGGCTTTGTGCACATTAGTCAGACCTGTGATAATTAACCAAGGTGAGATGTGGGTTTAATTCCTAAATCATTTTTTCATGTGAAATGCTTTGCGAGTGTTGCAATTAAAGATTAATTATGAAAATGCTGTAACTACCCATAATGAATAATACAACCATAAAATGCACAGAAG